TTTTTGACTGTTTCATTTTGCACCCAGTTATTAATGTGAAAGCCCTTGGTATTAAATTGATCCATTCATTGTAACAATTGATTGATTAGAAATAAAGCTAAATGCCTTTTTAAGTTACTATGTCCTTATGTGACAAGACTTTTGTCAATGACTGTATATGGGCGATGGGGAGGGTTGCAGGTTCGGGCCCCGGGTCCTCCTGACCCCATCGAAGTGTCCTTGAGCAAGACACTGAACCCCAAATTGCTCCTGGTGAACTGGTTGGCACCTTGCATGGTAGCCTCTGCCACTGGTGTGTGAATGCATGTATGAATGGGTGAATGTGAGGCATAACTGCAAAGCGCTTTCAGTGCTCGAAAGAGTAGCAAAAATGCGCTATATAAATGCAATCCATTTACCATTTACACACTGGTGAAGCACAAACAATGAAAATTAATGTCTTAAAATATTGTATAATTTCCCATCAACACGTATCAGATATTTTTGGAAGAAAAATGATAATGCCTGCTTTTAATAATAAATATATGGTGCTTTTTATATCCTGTCCATTCTACATTTCTTACGTTCATTATGGTGAATGTTCAGTTGGTTGATTTGCTCGGTGAATTCAGTCTCTTCAATGGTCTCCGTTCTTGGTACTGACAGTGAGAAACGTCGCTTAAAGTTCTTCATTTTGTTCATTATCTCAGAGCAACAATCCTGGGGAGAAGAAAAGACACCGCAAATCTCACAAAGACAGCTGGACAACATGCATTGCTTTAGACAAATCAAACTATTAACCTGCTGAATATTTCACCTGTCTAAAAAATATTTATTCCAAAGCGCTACAAAGGTTTTAATCCAGCACAAACTCAGCACCAATAATCTGAGACCATTTAGAATGTCATTCTTCTATTTTTTGTTTAAGTCAACTTTAAACATACACCTTTCAAAAACCTATTTTCACAGGTGCTAACAAATTGTTTTAAAAAAACAAACAAAAAAACCCAAACATTATGAACCAGGACCAAGCCAAGACTTTTGAGCTCCGCAGCTTACAAACATATTACAGGTCAGGTTCTGGATGGATGTATTTGAGCAGTACTCATAAACTTTACATTATATATTAAAATGTATCCAGAAGTTTAAATGAATATGATATGAAAAATTATCAACCTGTCATTCACCCCGATTCATTCTCCATTACTTTACCTGTTACTTTCAGAGTAGCTAGAACTCATTTTGTCTTTAACAGAATGTATTGTGGCCATCATAAAGCTCTGCTGTCTATGACATTAATTAAGGCTACCTGTTTTATTAATATCACTATTATTTAAAATTATCATTATTATTATTATTATTATATTTTAAACGGTTGATGCTGTCAATAATAATAATTATGATAATAATTATGGTTGACTATGTCGTGAATATTTATTGTTATCATTATTATTAATAATAATAGTAATAATAACTAGTAACTGCAGTCAATGACTGAAGGGTCCAAAGCGTAGGATGATTGTCCTGGTCGGACAAACAGTAGAGGAGGGTATTAAAAATTCAGACAGAACTACATAGTTGTCTGAGTGTAGGCCTGACAGGTCAGTAGATGTCAGACAGTACAGGACTGGTTTGGGTGAGACGGTCTGAGTATTAGGTAGAAATTAGGATGGAGATTGTTCAGTGTAGGTCTAACAGGTCAGCAGATGTAGGACAGAATGTAGAACCGTCTGGTGCACTGATGTGGTAAGTCTAGATTTTACAAGTTAAAGTTTGTTTGTACTGGCTGTGTGAACATAGACTGTGTTACATATTCTTTACAACAGTGCTGAGTTTGGGATGTTCTGCATGTAACAGTAGTAATATAATGCTTTGTCCTTTTCTAGGCTGTTTATTTAGACATGATAAGGGCTGAAAGTTTTTTGAATGGCATTAACTGAGTGGCATTTATGAAATGGAGCACTGCCTCCACCTGCTGGCGAATTTATTAAAAGAAAATCTGCAATATACACTGCCTAGCTTATAAATGAAGTCTCATAATTTTCTGAGTCAAATGGCAGACAAATGAAACTAAATTAAAATATGGACTCAGGTGAAGGGAAAGGTAACAATTCTTAGAAGGTTTTATGAGAAATAAGGACATTTCAGCTGAATTTCCTAAGGTGGGTCTTAGACATATATAGACAGTGGCCGGAGCGGCCCCGTTTGACTGATCAGCACCAAAGTTGGAGGGTCTGTCTGTGGTCTAGTGCTACATTCGTGCCTCAAGTTTGCTGAGGATTGGATGAAGCATAGCTGAGATTAAGCTGCTTGATTGAAATGAGCATGGAAATGGTGCAGGTTGGGTGTGGCTGGTGGCTATACTGTACAGGCAAGTCAAGTTATTTTTATAAATTATCCATAAGGGCACTGTCCTGATTAACCTGCTACCAGAATGACCTAGGTGGGGTGTACACTGTAGCAGTTATAGGAATATGTCATTCATGGAGTTTTTAAACATCACAAGGGAATACAAATCAATGCCATTGGACAGTACATATATCTTGATTTGGCATGACTCACAGAACAGGATTTTGACGAGTTTTATGTCAATTGAACAGAAATGAGAAAAATGTAAGTTTCACTATTTCTGCAGGTTTAGAGAGACATGTTACATTGCTGTAGCTCCCCCTATTGACTGATCAGCGTCAAATTTGGAGGGCCCTTCCCCAGTACTGTCGTACAGGACATTGTCAAGTCTGGTGATGATTGGCTGAGTCAGGCCTGAGATACAGCTGTCTGATTGAAATGGGCATGGCACCAGTATGGTCTGGGTGTGACTGGTGGCTGTACTTTACAGAAACTTTAGGATTTTTTAAATATTTATTTATAAGGACTGTCTCCTGATTTGAATGATACCAGAATTATGCAGGTTGGGCAAAAACGAAAAAACCTGTTTTCAGACTCTTACAAAATAGGCAAAAACGGAAAGAGGTAGGACAAAGATCTATATAGCTTTGAATTTGGCATAAAACACTAGATTAGCTCTGTAACAAATCTCAATTTTATCCTTCAAAGTTCAGGAGAAATAGGCAGAAACACAAAACTTGACACTGTAGCACCCCCATCTGGCAGACTGGGGTGCCCTTACCAGGGTGAGGTCAGGGACTGTAGACACATGTATCATCCAGATTTAGATCCGATTGGTGATTGCTAGGCCTGTAAAATGCATGCTTGATTTTCATTGGCTAATTATGGTCACCATTTTATGACTTATGACTGCCATAGTAAGGGTATGACCTCAGGCTTGGCCATAGTAGACATGTGCCAAATTTCACGTGGATTGGCCAAGCAGATCAGGAGATATTTGAAGTAGGTATTTGTAGCGCCCCCTATTGATGAAATGCGGCTGACAGACTTGGGTCGGACAGTCTGAGTAGTAGGTAGGAATTGACATCTTCCTGCCAAATGTGGTTGGCCTCGGTCTTACAGTTTAGGCTGCCCATTCAGTTTTAGGGAAGAAAAATAATAAATCCTAAGAAGATAACTGCAAGCAGTGATGAACGGGTTCAAAGCTAATGGACAGAAGCAATGGGGAGGAATGGAGTGAATGGCATAAAATTAGTAGTTTAGTAATGATGGGAAATGAAGTACAGACTGTAACTGATGGCCAATGCATTTAAATAGTCAGAAAGTAGGAAATGCTACTATGATAGGATGCGACCTGACATTTGGACATTACAGTAGAAATGTTCATCAAGGTAGGATAAAAGGAAAAGGGTAGATGAGAAAAAGAAGGGAAATGTGGTGACGAGCTGTTGGAAAAAAATTCAATTGCTGCAGTGTACACAGCCTGAAGTATTCAATTTCATTGGCTAATTATGGCCACCATTGTATGACTAATGACTGCCATACTATGGAACTGACTTCAGGCTTGGCCATAGTAGGCATATGCCAAATTTCACTTGGATATGCCAAGCAGTTCAGGAGATATTGGAAGTAGGTATTTGTAGTGCCCCCTATTGACTAAATGTGGGCCGCTTTGTATGGTGTCCCCAGAATGGAGCAGGGAGGTAGGATTTTAAGTTTGGTTAAGGTAGGCTAAGGCAGGGAGAAGTTATAGCAGTCAGACTGAAACTGGCCAAATTTAGGTGGAGTTTGGGCGTGGCAGATGGCCGTATGATACAGAAATGTCAGACTTTTTTATAACAATTAATCAGCTCAGAGGACTGATTGGTTTGACACCTCATTTGTCTGATTTGGTCAGATAGTGTAGGACTTTAAGTCAGAAGTAAGTTATGTAAATTATGCAAATTAGCAAACAATCTAAGTAGGCGGAGCCTAATAGTTTCACTCTGAAAGTTGTAGGGAATATCTTCCTGTATCTGTAGAAAAAAGAATTTTGATTGTAGGACTAACAGGACAGGAGATATTGACCAAAAAGTGGGGGGGGGGGGGGGGTATAGCGCCCCCATTTGACTGACTGACCTGGGTCGGAGGGTCTGAGTAGTGGGTAGGAATTCACATCATCCTACCAAATTTGGTCAGCCTCGGTCTTACGGTTTAGGCTGCCCATTCAGTTTCAGGGCAGAATAATAAGTATTCCTAAGAAAAAACAATGATGGTCCATAGCACTTCGTGCTTTGAACCCTTAATAATAACAGTCACAATAACATGACAACAAGAAGATCATCATCATGAAACAAGTAGCCTGAATGCAAATCCTTCCATCCCCATGTGGTAAGCAGAGTGGACCTCATCCATCCACTTGAGGACAAAGTTTCAGTGCTTTCCTTTTCAGTCACACATGAATTATCCAGCCATTGCATCTCAGACATATAAGAAATGAGGTGCAGTATGCTCTAGCAATCCATTTGCTTTGCTGCCAGGCAACGATACTGAGAGAGAGAGGTGATGAACAGCTGCACGTCTGCTAGAGATGTAAACAAAGCCTGCAATCACTTAGTGTGGAAATGCTGCCTGACCATCTTCCCCTTTTGCGTGTTAGATCCATCATATTTGCATTTTAGCGTCCAGTCTTCTAATGGTAGGAATAATAGCTAATAAAATGAAATTTTAAACCTGACACTAAAAACTACTCATTTAGGGGCAGCGTGTGGCTCAGTGGGCTAACCCTCTGTGCCTGTGATTGGAAGGTCTCCGGTTCAAACCTGACCTTGGCACATCTGCAGGTCATTGAGCAAGGCCCTTAAACCCCAACTCCCGGGGTGTTGCTACGGATGGCTGCCCTTTGTGGCCAGCTTACTCTCACCTACAGAGAGCAAATTTGGGGAGGTGTAAAGAAGAATTTCCCCACAGAGATTAATAAAGTATCAATTACTACAATGGGTTGGTGCCCCATCCTGGTTATTCCATGCCTTGCACCTGTCAATAGGCTCCAGACCCCTGTGACCCAGCATAAAACAGGGGGGTTTGAGAAATGGATGGATTGATATTATTCATCAATTACTGAACTGCACAACGTCTACTTCTCCCCCGCCTCCTCCTCCTCTCACCATGTCAGCCAGCAGTAATGACAATACTGTATTAACATTCCATACATTATATGCACATACATATTTTGTAACAGTCAATGCATTCTTAAACTAATATTGTATTGTCCCTTCGGAACCTGTGTTGCTTGCATTTCAGCTAGAATAATTACAGATATGTTTACCTGTAAAGTGGCATGTTTTTCCAACCTGGGAATCCAATATGGATTAATTAAACACAGT